TTCAGCCATGTTACTGCTCTGTTTGTTGGCTTTGAACCATGATAATGCTCTGTTTGTTGGCTTCCTGCCTTTGTGTTTCACCTGGTTGGCTTTACTTGTGGCTTGTGAGTTGTTAGTATGATGTTACTTGTCCTGGCCATTATGGTGGCCTGATGTTATTTTGTGGCCTGATGTTACTTGTTGTTGCCTTGTATGAGTACTTCTGGCATCTTTTCTTGGTATGGTGTTGCCCTTAATTGCCTAGTAACATCTGAGTCCCCACTTAGGTCCTATACTAGATGCATTGAGTCCCCAACCATGTAATGCATCATTGTGTTTATGTTCCAAATGATGAAGGGACTCAACTGATAGCTTATTGTTAAGTGTGGATGCTCTAGTGACTTTAATTTGATGTTGTAGTTAAGGTACCCACTTTCAAGATTGCTTTGAGTGAAAATACCCTTTTTGATGGACTAGCTACAAAAGGTTTTTGTTTTCATTCATTCAATAAGTTGTGTTACTTACAAAAGTGTTGACAACTAACCATGCCACCTTACTACATGACTGGCTACAAATGTGCACTAAGTATTTACCAAAATTTACATAACCAAAACATAAACTAAAACAAAAGACAAGTTTAGGGAATAATGGTTATGTGTGGCAGTCTATGAGTCCCAAAAGCTGGTTCCTTCTACTATTATGTGCTTAGTCTGCATTCACCTCCATGTTTGCTTCTTGTTGCTAGTTGCTTGTTGTTGGTGCTTCAATTGTGTTCAAGTACTACACCACTGTCTGTATGAGTTCCTTGTCTACCTCTAGTAACTCAGGAAGTAGGCCTTGTCTGTCGAGCTTCTCTTTTTCATGTGTGGAGGCACAAAGTTGTTCCGTCTCATCTTTGCTAGTATTTCAAGCATGCAAGACTATAGGGTCATCTACGTGTACTTGTTGACAGTTGGGTCAAATTCATCCCAAGCTTCTTCCACTCTTTCTATTAATTCATCAAGATTCTTGGGAAATGATTGATATCGAATGGATTAAATTACCCTAAAGAGATCTAGGTCTAACACATTTAAATCTGGACTTTGTGCTGGTTGAAACAAAAAATGTATGTTGAACCTGTATGCTTCACATGCTGCTTGAAATTCTGCATCTTTTGGTACTTAATGTGGCCTAGCATTGTCCCACTGAATTGTGATATCCTTTGGTAATTGGGGGGGGCATTTCTTATGTAGAGTTGGAATGACATGATTGAGTAGCATGTCCCTTATAGCTTCCTTGTTGACTGACTGGACTGCCTTTGTTTCAAGTGTGCCTTTGTCTCTGTTTTTGATTTTCTTCTTTGCAACTTCATACTTGACAGAAGGGAACACCCATACTTCCCATCATGCAAAAGGTTCTTATCTTCATCATAGAGTGGCTTGCCTATCATACCCATGAACATAGCTTTCAGCTTGAATCTCTTTGATTGTTGTGCTCTGTATGGGTCTTCTTCATTGGGTAGCAGATAAAAGGTTCTTGCTTCTGGGTTTAAGTAGAACCATTTCTCATTTATGTGGATTGTTTGTTGCATATGTCTAAAGGTAGGGTCCCCCACAACAGGAATGGGGTTTACAAAGCTTAGAACACACTTGAGTCTTGCTATTTTGTGATTGTCTGTAAGTGCTAGGTGATTGGTTGCTGTGTGTGTTCTAAGTCTGCCTTTTTTTCTTAACCTATGTATGGTGGAGGATGACACATGAAGGGCAGCAGCATAGCTCCTTTGAGTGGTCCTCTTATACAGAGGGATTGATACCAATCATTCATCTGAGTACTCTTTGGGTTTGGGACCTATTTTACCAAGTTTTTTGCTCCTAACATCGATAACATTCCCCTCCCCTAAGTGTTTTTTAACTACCTGGAACCATCTTATTGTTGTTGATCTGTGAACATTGTGTTTTTCGGCTAAGTTGGATAAAAATCCTTTTGGCAATGAGTCCCGTTCCATGTTCAGCAAGATATCATCATCAAGTTGCCTCTTTTCATCAACTGTCATTTCTCTCTTCCTCCTTGTTCCGTCTGCTTCATCTTCTTCTGTATCATCATCATCTGCATCATACCCATTCTCTGCCTGTTTGGTGTTGGCTTGTTGGTTTTCCATGTTTAATTCATAATTGAATGAATCATGAAGTCCCATGCTATGATTTTATGTTGCTTGTTGTTGTTCCTCTTCATAAAGCTGTTGCAGCCCATAAAAATCAGCTTCAAAGAATTCTACCATGAGTCTCTTGCTAATTTTGCAGATGAGGTGAAGGTGATGAAGTGGCGGCTGATGGTTATTTTTTTTTTTTTTTTGCGGTCTTCAATGGAGACTAATTTGTGTACATATGCATGCTGCTGGATCTAACAGGGCACTTAGAAATTAGGATGATTATTTACTAATTTTAGGAACTTGTAATTTGTAGGGCTGACTGTTTTGTAAACTTATATTTCGTTGTTTTTGTGAACAAATTTGATACTTATCCCTCCCTTCCTCTAATCCCATTGACAGTGTAGAAAAAAAAATGGGTTTAGTTGGGTGGGAGACCTCTTTATAAAGGGGTCCTTTTGGTTGAAAAGAATGAAAATTTAAATTTGGGATGAATTTGGCTAAAGATTTGAATTTTCGCGAAAAAATAAGGAGGGAAAAGGGAGGCTTTACAAAATTTGGGTATTTTTTCCCAAAAAGTCAGAAAAGAAAGAGTGGGAAAAAACCCACTCAAAAGAGTTCTCACTTGCTTCCTAAGAGTAAAATAAGGGACCACTTTCTTTCTCTCCATTTTATCTCTCCTAATACTATACCCCTCCACTTAATTAATCTCCCTTCAATCTTTTGCCTAGGAGTCCGCAAACATGTCCTTTGTTGCGAGTAATATAAAGCAGAGTTAGTATATATATTTCGCAACCCCCTTACTAATAATTAACAACTCACCTTTCGACTCAAAGTCTCCTCACGATATCGGGTCGAGGATGTTACCAGTAATAACCTCCGTCAAGGCCACCGTTCACCACCGCGAAATTAATTTTTTGATCAGAGAGAAACAAAGATCTAGTTTTAAGGTAAAGAAGTGAAGAGAGAAAATAGAGAACTCAAAAGTAAAAAAGAAACGCGTTTGTCAAAATTATTTTCTTTTTCATTTATTTTTCTTTTTTTTTCAATAAACATTTGCCCTAAATTTTGAATTTCAAAACTTTATATGAAACCTGCTTTTATTAAAAAGGAAATTGTCATTCATGCCCTTATTATTGTCCACTAGGACTCTATACAGTATCCTAGACAATCTCTTTGAAGCATATCATTCCAAAATAATATATGTAATTATCCCACATTGATAAAAGTTGAGAGATAAAGTCACTTCACAAGGTTAGGGGGTTACTTCTCTTAGTTCAATATGGTTTTGGGGTAGAACCTTATTGGACTTGTGAAGTAGACTCTCTCTCTCTTAATTGATTGCGGGTGCTAATAAAGCAGATAGCGACTCGTCTTTTGACATTTACCTCGAGTCCTCAGCTCGTTCAGGCTAATACTTGGCTCAATTCAACTAGTTGACATCCGTAATTATTGTATGATATGGTTTAAAAGTTTGTACTCTCACCTCTTATTTCCTTAAAACAAACGTAATATTTAAACATAGTCAACTATCTAGCAGGAAGATAATCCATGGGAACATTATTTAATGTTTCGCTTAGTTTGAACAAGTCTAGAATTGAAGCCCACAACTTAGTAATAATTGGCATACCACATACTGTCCCATCCCATGTTATAACATATAATAATATAATATTGATTTTTTTTTTCTTCGAGATATAGCTTTAGCCATTAAAATATTATATTAAATATTAACTAAAATTTTTTAAATCTTAATATTTATATTAGGTATACATTGAAACGAATAAAATTATGTGTCTCAAGACTGTTTTTTTTTGTTTTTTTTTTAATCACAGTACATTAATTATTTTTTTTTAATAAAACTGCATCTCTTGAGGGACGGAGCCATAATTTTATTATTAAGAAGGCCAAATTAAACTTAATATATGTACTAATATCTCGTGCATTAATAAATATAATATTGATATGTCAAAAAATAGTGTGAACAAGTTTTATGTTAAAAAAAATCGAAAAATATAGAAAAGGGAAATTAATGCCTAGAGTTATACTATAGCCTTATTATACAAACTAGTAAACTAAGTAGTGTTGCAAAATAATAGAACTAGTAAACTAAGTAGTGTTGCAAAATAATACGGAGTAAAAGCTTAAAAAAATTGTAAGAAGCGAGGTTTGAACTTGAGACTTCCAAAATAGATCTCATTAACTCTATTAACAACTAAGTTGTGATACACTTTCCATGGCCCACGTCCGCCACCCGTTGGTTCCGCTACTGCTATCTCTCTAAACTAATTTTTTTTATACATTTATTAAATATTTTTTATCAGGTTTTTTAAAGATTGACCATGAAAATGAAAATATGTACTATATACTTCCTCTGTTACACAAATATTGCAACAAGGATGAAATTACGTATTCTAAAGCACATTTTATATGCTTAATATCTATAATTATATAAGAGTTAAAATTATAAAAAGTTAATATAGCGAAATTATTTTACGAGACGAATTTAACAAGACCCCACATTACTATATTTTAATTTTCGTATAAATCATAATATGTGGTCAAATAAATGTGATAAATAGTGTAAAACTCCAATTGTTTTAATATTATTAGAACATAGAAAGTATATCATAACTTTATTATAAGCTGCGTGAAGGAAACATTATAAATTAAAATAATTCCCAAAAAATTCGTTAGAGTCAAAGTCAAATGTCAATACTTTGAACGTATAATGTATTTCACAAGTTGCGCCGTATAGAATCGCCATAAAATATTAAATAATGAACAAGAGTGACAATAATTAGTGGATTTGGACAATCTCTTAGCGTAATTAACTAACTAAGCTAACTTCTTCCCTAGTTTACTTCTCTCATTTTCTTCTATAAAACCAATTTACTCGTGTTGAGTTTCCTCGTCCAACACATTACAAACCTCTAAACCCAAAATGTCTTCCCTAAGGCCAATTTTCGCCATACTCGTGGTGGTTACTTGTATTTCAAGTTACCTAGTTGTAGCCCAAAACTGTGGCTGTGACACTGGTGTATGTTGCAGCCAGTGGGGTTACTGCGGTAACGATGATGCCTATTGCGGTGAAGGGTGCCGCGAAGGCCCTTGCTATTCTACGAACCCGACATCAGGTGGTGGTGGTGGTTCGATATCTGATATGGTGACTGATGCCTTTTTTAATGGAATAATTGATCAAGCTAGCTCTAGCTGTGCGGGTAAAAACTTCTATAGCAGGTCTGCTTTCTTGGATGCTCTCAGTTTCTACCCCGAGTTCGGAACTGGAGGATCCGGCGATGATACTAAGCGTGAAGTTGCTGCTTTCTTTGCTCATGTCACCCATGAAACTGGACGTAAGTTGAATACTCCCCTTGTTCGTATGTAGTTGGCATATTGTCTTAACCTCTCTTAATAAAGTATTAGAAGCGTACAAAAAATAGAAAGTTTATTAGAAAAATCTACTACTCAAATGATATTATTAGTTGTCAATTTATCATGTTTGTAACATTTCATCACACATATATTTCCATATAACTTAACTTATGTCAAACAAATTCTATCAATAACATATACAAAGTACTCCATACTTTTTTGCTTAATCATTGAACTTAGGTGATACTTAAATAAGAGTTTAAATGTTTGATAAAAAAATTTAAGCTTATAGTTAAAACCCACAATTGATTCTACGTTCTGCCACACCAACTTACATGAGTCACGTGGCTTGAAGTGTGGATATAACATATCTTTTCATATATTTTGCCATGCCACCTTACACGGGTTGTTTAGGCTTGAATTGTAGATATAACATAAGTCTCGTCATGTCCAATTTTAAATATGTAGTATTACTTTTTGGAAACGAGGGGTAGATGAAATTTAAATAAACTTGTGACATTCTTGTTAAGCGGACTCTTTTATAGATTTTTGTTATGGAAAATTTTACTCAATAACTAACTAAATAAAATTTTGCTCTTTTGTAGATTTTTGTTACATTGAGGAGATTGCAAAGGCAACTTATTGTAAGGAAAGTACAGATTGGCCCTGTAACCCAGATAAGCAATACTACGGCCGAGGACCAATTCAGATCACATGGAACTACAATTATGGACCAGCTGGTCAAAGCATTGGATTTGATGGTTTGAATGCACCAGAAACAGTTGCTAACGATCCAACTATCGCCTTTAGGACAGCCTTTTGGTTTTGGATGAACAATGTACACTCCCTTATCATCTCCGGCCAAGGGTTCGGATCCACCGTTCGAGCTATCAACGGTGGAGAATGTGGTGGGGGGAACACACCGGCAGTTGATGCTCGTGTAGGGTACTACACTACATATTGTAACCAGCTTGGTGTTTCACCTGGTGACAACCTTTCATGTTAAATTAGTTATAACATTGCTTAATATGTGTAAACAAACTTTATTATAATAACAAAAGAAATATGAAAACATGATATGTATATGTAAACTCAGGGTTGAGTCATGACAGTTTAATTTTATGTGTTGTTTCATTGTATCCTTTTTGAATTGATAATAAAAAAGAAATATTAATCATTATTCTTTAAGCTAATTGTTGGAACATACATCTATCAAATAAATGTATTTGATTTATTAGAAGAATTCAGTAGCTTCAAGTTTAAGTCAGAGTATATTAAATTAAATTACATATATTAAGCAAAAAAAATTATAAAAAAAAATAAATAAATAAATAAAAGAAAGAAAAAGAAAAGAGACGAAATCAATCACAAGAGTAGCGCCCGTTCCACATATAAAAAGAAGCATTTACTAGATAAACAAAGTGATCTAGGCCATTTTAGACGTGAAGGCGAATTGATGCCATGACCATTTGTACCTACAAGCATTTTTATACCGTCCTTGCAACATACAAATCATTATCGGTTACACACTTACATAGTGTGACTAATTTCATGGTGTACATATGTAGCTGCATTTTGTTATAAGATCGAGTAACCTTTATTTATTATTTTAAGTAACCTTATTTAAGGGTAACCTTATTGTGTTATAAGAGTAACTCAAATTTGTTAGTAAAAATTAAAAATAATAATCCCACTTTTGGTACAAGTACTGACAACTTAAGACCCCTAAAAGTGTTTAAAAAATAAATATTGCAACAACGAACAACAACCAATAATTACATGTGTAATTATGAATCTAATGCATTGTATAAGTTATCATCGTGTTCACTTTTTTTTTTGGTAAACATTGAACTAGATTAAAGCCATAAAACAAAGTAGCATAGAGTTAATGGCCAAAGCCAATATACAAAAGGCCCTGTCATACTTAGGGGGCTCCAGAATAGGTGGGTTTTCACCCCTAACAGTTAGCTGATTAGACAAGTTTTTTTAATCTAGCACACCAAAATTAAAGTTTGAACTAGTAGAAGCCGAGAAATTAACCTGGTCAGGCTGTACAATAGTTACAAAATGCTCCAGAATGGAGGCTTCACTTCGCAGAGAGCTAATAGTTTGAGGTAGAACCAACATAGCTTTCCTGGCCACAACATCTGCTTCCTTGACTGCTTCCCTGTTGGCCTTTGGTATATTTACCCTTCCTGCGGTTGAGATCAGGTCCCTGCACATTAAATAGTAATTTTCGATTTCATCAGTGCAAGCCACAACTTCATTAATTCCCTCTACTGCTTATTAGAGTCAGAAAATATGTGCACATCAATCCATCCCTCTAGCTTGGCCCATGCAATAGCCGCAATAAATGCTTAAGTTTCAGCCATGTGGGCAGAAGTAGTTGCAGTGTGAACAGCCATACCCTTTCTCCAAAGACCCTGCTTATCCCTGCATATGCAGGCTATGCTAGCTTGCAATGAATTTGGCTTGAAGGAGGCATCAACAATGATATTAACATCACTAGTCATGCAAGAAGACTGATTGGTAAAATGGCTGACACTATGAGGAGTAGAAGATTGAGGTCCAAGCAATGAAATTTCATTGGCAATATATTTGATGGAATTGATCCATCCCCCCAAAGGTGTATATTTCCTGTTAAATACCCAGTCATTTCTCCTCGACCACAATCTCCAAGTAGGAGATGGCAATTATAAATGGATATCCAAAAATCTGATCCATCCGATATAAATAAATGGACGAAAATCCGTGTAAAATGGATGAAGATGGATCGGATCTAATTCGGGTGGGCTCTGTTTCATCCGTCACCCGATCCGTCATCCATTTATCATTTGATCCGTCATCCACCCGATAAAAATATAAATTTTTTTTAACATTTTTTTAATAAACTTGTGTACAGTACATACATTTCTAAAAAAAATTATTTCTAAAAAATATAAAAGCCTCCATATTTTCTCAAACCCTAACCCAAATTGTGTGAAGACTTTGAACGCCACCCTTAAACCCTCACTCTCTTTCACTGAAACTACTCCACTGAGTCTGAACTCTGAAACACCTGCGGCATCCTCATTGGCGGGCGGCAGCTTCTCTCACCGACGACACTCCTCACCTCCCCTCTAATTTCGTTTGACTTAAGTTAATATTCTCGTTTATTTCTCTAATTTATTCTTCTAGCTTATGATGATTCCTAATCAAATATTGCTTCTTCTTAATTTACTTCCCCTAACTTAAATCAATTTTCCATATATCTTATTGGAAAACTTGTCATCAATAAGTCAACCTTTGCTTAGTTTTCTCAAACTAAGTCCAGCTTTTTTTTTTTTTTTTTTTTTTTTGAATAAAATAAGTCAAGCTTTCAATTAACTTAAAATAAGTCGACTTTTATAGCATATCTTCCCAAAATGGGTCCAAAACCTATTGGGTTGGGAGGTAATCGGTTGCTTCGGTAAAATTACGCCATGTCATAATTGATTGGTCCATGTTAATTAATTATTATAATAAAAGACTTTTTTTTTTAGTACTAAAAAAAAAATCAAAGAAAAAAATCCTTTTTTCTCTCTTCTCCTTCTCCCAGCCAAGCACCCCTCACCTTTCCTGCCGTTGCTCCCCCACTAGTACCCACATTTACACCCACACCGGCCACCTATGGCCCACAACTCCCTTTTCCCGCATTCCCCTCAACCCCCTTCCCCACCATTCCCTCCCTTCACCACCCTCAAAATCACCATTTCCTCCCACCCCTACCACCAAAATTACCACCACCTGAAACCACCGCCTCGCACAATCCACACAACCTCATATCTGGGCATGACTTGTTTTTAGGGGCATACCTATTCATGTGCATAGTGGTGCACGTGATTCACCAGTAATAAAAAAATAACTTATGTTCAGTTTTTTTTTTAAGATAAAAATATTAAAGAGACCTATGATTATAGATAACCGGTCTCTTTGATGCTGCTATTACATTTTCAAGAGCTTTGTGCTGCGCTCATTTTTTTTTTTAATATCAAAGATACTACTATTGCATTTTCATGAGTTTTGCGCTGCTTTCTTTTATAATTAAAGAGACCGGTTATATTTAATAACCGATCTCTTAAATTATATTACTTTTTATTTTTTTTTATTTTTTTTTTATAATTTTTGCATTTATTTATATCCTATATGTGTGCAACCAATTTTAATATTTTCCCCCAAAGCTTATCAATTAAGTAAAAATCATAAAGTTAATGTAATAGTTTTATAGTACCATTTGTTTGTAACATGTTATTTGTAGTACTTTTGATTCGTAAGATTGAATTTTTAAGTACTATTTGGTTGTAGTATGGATTTTTGTGTCCTATTTTTAGATAGAAATCAACTTGGTGAAATATAATTTTCTTTATACGTAGTCTAATTTTTGGATTGAAATTAATTCTGAACAAGATCTAAAATTTTTGTTTGTAGTTTCACAAGTGATCAATAATTGATGGTGACTCACCATCTCGGAAATCCTGGATCTGCCACTGCTTGTTATGGAAGGGTAATTCAATTCTTCCATAAGTTATAATTTTGGCAAAATACTTTAATCATATTGTTCTCCTTTTCTCTCCTCCTCTTTTCTAGGGTTTCTCAAAATTCTTGGTCGTTTAGGCCGGAAATAGTCTAATTTCTTCTGAAATTAGACTATTTTCGATCTTTTTTCCTTAATTTTCTTTAGTTTTGCAATTTAAGTTTCAATATATGTACACGAGTAGTGTAGATATTCGTCCGCCTCTCTATGGCGGAGTGTCTCCCTATGGTGGAGCTGTTAGTTTTTGTTAGTTTAGTTACTTGTTTATGTTTAGGGTTTGTTTATGTGTTAAGATTTATCAAAAAGGCAATCATCTTTTGCCCTATTATCAGTTCGATGGTAAAGCTTTGTGCAGGATCGCAACGGTTGTCAAGTTTTCAAATGCGTTCAAGTGAATCAGATGAAAATCATCCTTACAGCTACAATAGATCGTTAGACCGTCTCTCTAAAAAGGCTGTATATTCCAACAATGTGTGCGAGAGATGTACCACAATGCAAGATTTATTTAACGATCATAGCTTTGATGAAGAAAACCCTAATTTGATTCAATTTTATGTATTTGTTAATTTAGAATTCTTTTGTACGTAGATGTTGTATGGCTTTTTATTAATGAATTAATTTGTTTAAAAAAAAAATACTGTTGAAGTCAGTAGTGATTAGTGATTTACCCATTTGGAGGAGATTTATTCACGTAGTTATTATGGGATGTAATGTTATCTGTTTTTTTTTTCCTTCTTCTTCTTCTTTTTGGTTATCTGGTTTTCATGGTGGAAACATTGTTTTTTGAAGCTTTGTTGTTTGGACTCACTGAGTTGTCAATCAGCCAAAATAGATTTGGGCTTTCTTTTGAGATTTAGAGGAAATATGGTGGGTGGTAGAAAGGAAGAGGGTGGTGGCTTGACAACGGTGATGGAGGTGTTGTTGCCAGCCATGATGATAGAGGTGATTTTTAAAATTTTTTATAGCAGGTTACCGGTAAAATAAAATTACCTACTAATATTTTTATAGCAGGTTACCGGTAAAATAACTCATCTAAAGTTGAAGGGTAGTAAAAGTTGACTTATTTTGAGAACATGATTTATTTTAAGAAGATTGGTTAAAGGTTGACTTATTTTTGACAAATTTTCCTATTTTAAAAGTTAGTTAAAGTATTTTAGACACCTGAGAACTACAGAGTATTAAATAAGCTATATTATTGAAACATGTATTAGAGTTAGGATTGGTTTACAATTGTCCATACAACTATTCGGGGCATTGCTCGGTTCACAAAATAGTAAAAAAAAAAAAAAAAAAAATAGAGGGGGTTAAAGGTTTTTATATTAAAAAAAATTACATGGCACAAATTTCGTTATAACAAATTATTTATGTCTTATGATTCCTACATAATTCTAGCAAGTTAACTAGATTTAATTAGTGCCCTGCAATGCACGATAGTAATGATCTTTTTTTTATAATGAACTTTGATATAATATAAAAATGAGGCAACTCATGTGGAATAAACAAATACAATGCATATAGAAAAAATAAAATAATAAGGCAAAATTCATTAAAACTACAACTGAGAAAGAAAAAAATTTATTGTTGATTAGTTGAGTTGAAAATATTTAAAAGTAGTATACATTATATTA